TCTGTTTTAACACAAATACGTTTTAATATACTCACAACAATACAAGTTACAATAACAGTTATTACAAGCAATGATTTATAAACGAAAGTTTCGTAAACTTAGAAGCAATATAAGGTCTTCCTTTTAAACTGGAACTTCTTCGATACCTTATCGAGGGTTCACGATGAGCGAATTGATTACGAGTTGGCGAAGGTGGAATTCACCGGGAAGGTAGTTAGCTTTAGTTAGCAGATGTCCCACAATGTCGACAGGAAAATATGGAATGGTTAATGTCTGCATTAGTCAGTGCACATGAATTCGCCATTCAAACATTTGGAAAGGCCACTTAATACAGAGAAGTTTTATAACAAGACTGTAAAGGAATAAATGTACTAGTATGGATATTGAGTCTGATTGTTTCAGCAAAGAAACAGCTTGGATCTGGCTGGACTGGTAAATACCCAGAATTCTGGCAGGGTGGTCCATTGATATACAAGTTACAGTAAATGCAAGGCAGATGTCAAGATTTGTCTATATGTCATAGATGAACCTTCATACTGTAGCTTGATCAAGCTAATATTGATGAGTTAGAGGAAGATAATGATGCTATTTCACGTCATACTGACTCACTCAATGAGAGAGATAGAGCTGAATATAGTTATGTGGCTGTCCACGATGAGCCAGATGTGGAAATATTGGAATTAGAGGCAAAAACAGCTCCAAGATTCAGTCAAGCCACTGACATCAGCCTTCTGAATGATATGGAGGGTGGGAATGGATTATCATCAAGAGCTAGGACAGTCATTTGGTCAATCAACCAATGATTGAAAGGAAGTGATTATCCTTGCTTTCCAAGCTATCGAGTAATGCTCATAATACAATATATGCACTACATCTTAGGATAATTATCAAGTGATGTACATAATAGAAAGTATGCACTACATTGTTGGATTTCCAGTTGATTATCCTCACTACGACTATCATTTGGTTGATAAACAAATGATTGAAAGGAAGTAGCATTCTTAACATTATGAGCTATTAGATGACATTTCACAGTACATCTTGTGATTCTTACTAATTTACTTCATAAGCTAAGATGGTCATATAGCTGAAAATTCAATGGCTAAAAAGGGTGTTTTAACACACTTTTCAAGCCACCAAGAGAATTCTCTGATGTGAAACATCATTTGACATTTCAAGAGAATCACTCCCTTAATCCAATTGATTGGCAAAATCTACAGAGCACACTAGCTTGTATTTGCAACATTATCCTCTATTTAACTGGAGAGTACGCTAATTCTACACGCAGTGAGGGAGTTGTGTTTCATTGGAGTTTAAATGGATATACAGTAGTAATGATATGAGTATTAATCCTAGCTGACAAGGATTTTAGCTTAAGATGTTAATTTGGCTGAATTATACCTGTATTCATATATTTCTTGATGATTGAAATTAAAAACGAGTTGATGGTAGCACTTTATTGGACAGTCACTACTGAGAGGTAGCTTTGGAAGGTAACCCGCGAAGGTTACTGAAGTAATTTATATAGAAACCAGAGGCAGTCTGTTATAAGCTACTAGAGTATGTGACAATGTGTAATGGTGATATATGTATATAGCAGTATGTATATAAATAGATATATGTGTGTAATCTTGCATGCATATATAAAAATTACATAAAGTCATTAATGAGGGTTGTATAACATGAATGAATCAATTACACAAAGAACATTACAGTAAGCAACATGTGCATTAAGACAAAGGATTTTATCTGAATGTTAAGACTTTGTGATATGACATTAACTTCAATAATTAACCTAGAAGGTATTACTAAAAATATACAATACAAGTAAGAGGATGTTTTAATTTTACATTGAAATTATTTGGCAGGTAGTGAATTTTCTGAACTGCCTGTTTAATCATGACCAATATTTCCAAGGCTTCTCCAACAATGAAGGAGTGGATTACTGAATACTGGCCAAGGAGCTAGTCTGGTGTGTGAAGGATAATATAACTGTAGTTGAAGCACGCAGCATGAGTGGCAGCAGTAGCAATAGACACGGCACTTGCGGGAAGACAGACAAATTCATTTTTATGTTTGTTTTATAACAATCAGGATTTAATATTCATAAGTTTGACCCACTTAATATTTGACCCACACTTGTATATCAACATGAAAACTTCTACTCTGCAAGAGGAACAAAGTCTTGCCAAATCCCGAAACTCTGCATCTTCATGGTCGAACACTAGGAAGAGGTGAGTTTTTTTTACGGTAAAGTGTGGGTTTTTGAGGGTAGCAGAGTACAATTTTTCGGTTTTAACTTGAATAACAGAAACCATGACAACGTTTGTATCCCACCCAATCTCCTGGTCTCATCAACGTGTAGATTAGGTGTTAAAAACAAACAACATTTTCAAGCCTTAAGAAGTTATTTTTCGTTTATCATATTTTGTGTATTAGGTTTTACTGTTTGGTTTCACAAATATGATGGCACATAACATATAATTCATTACAAACTATTGATTACATAAATTGTTAATATGTGATTAAATCAGCACTATAAAACAATAATGAATTAAATATCGCAATACCTTTATCGGTCCAGGTTGTCAACTTATTGTCATAACGTATGTGGTAATAGTACCCAAATGGTTGGGGATATCCCATTTATCACACAAAATCCAAACACCGGTATCAATCTCGTCAGCCGTCATGGAGAATCATATAAGGTTCAACCAAATAAGGGTAAGAAGCTGAGTGTTTCCACTCACAACGTCTCAGCTTCTACTGCCTTTCACCGTCTCTAGCTAGTTGTGGGAAGGCAGTTATCTTTAAATTTCTTAAAGTAGAAATGAATTGAAATAAAACTACCCTAACATTTCTACTAATTAACTCCCAAGCTACACCCTTACAAAAAGATATTAAATAGAACTATAAATTATTGAATAGAATTATAAGATATTAACTAGAACTACACACCCTACCTTATAAGTACATATATAGTTCTAACTCCCAACCTCCTCCCTTTCTCCTGAACATTTATTCAGACAATAACACGGGAACGCAGAGACAAGCCCAGCTACTTGAAGTTAATCTTTCCGTCCCGGTTATACAGAATAAAATTACTTGAAAAATTGCCATTAGCTACATATAAACTAAAAAAACTGACTCCCTCTATATTTTATTTATTTTTTAAGATATTTTCTTTAATCGATAGTTTAGTTTCTAAAATATTTTTGTATTAATAAAAAAAGGTATTTATTTAATTGCCTGTCTTTATAGCCGTTATCTTTCACTTTATTTTTTAATAGTAGGAGATTATCCTTAAAAAAGTATAGTTATTACAGACTATTAAGGACCGTTTCAGTTGAAATATAATAATACCTTTTAACGTGATACACGGAATAACACTATTAAGTGTGGGTCGACCAAAAATGGAAAAATTAAATTATCTTCTTTCATCAAAAATAGTCAACCGCATTGTGTCTTCAGTAAATAATTAGCATGGACCTCATCATTATTATTACTTCTTTGTATTCTACATTCTGTTGGATATATTAAGTTTAGTGTAAAATTAATATTATTTATAGATATTAAATCATCTATGTAACGGAATGTGTAAATGTATAAGTTAGAATTTAAACTGTGCTTCATAAATGTGTTTTCATAAAAGATCAGAATAATCATCAGATACAGGTTGGCCATATTTGAACAGAAGTTCGTTCCCATTGGAAAACCCACCGTTTGCTTATATACTTGTTCGTTAAAAACAACATAACTGTTATAAATACAGAAATGGAGTATATTTGTACATTGAATTCCAGTAAATTTAAATTTTGGTATAGTTATTTCATTATTTATAAAGTTATCAAAGAAATCATTAAAAACGCTGATTAAATCTTTTAAGTCTATTTTAGTATGCAGTGCAGTAAAGTCATATGTAAAAATAGAATTGCCAATTTTTGGAAAATTTAAATTATTTAAACATTCCAAAACTGGAATGTTATTTCTAATAATCCAAAAATAATTATTCTGGTTATTTGAAGGCTGTGTTGTTGTTTTTTCAAGCCAGACGTCTAGAATATTGTTTAAGTATTATGGAAACATATTTGATGACTGTATTTAAAGAATTAGTAATAAATCTGAATTTCACATGATTTTTATTTAATTTTGGAATTTCATATACAAATGGTAGATTCGTACAAGAATAATGTGTATGAATATTCCATTTTAATGGCCTCTTTTAAATTAGTAATAACATTATTTTTCTTTAAAGTACTTTTAGTGAAAGTACTTGTAGTATTAATTTCATTAAGTAAAATTTGTGCGTATAATTTTTCACACATAAAACCAAAATTACAATCAGCCTTTATCAATCGGGGTAATAATGAAGTGTTTTTGAATTTATTTTATTTTTAACGACATTGAAAGACATATCTAATTTATATTGAGATAAGTTGAAGGTTATAATCGATTCTTTATGGAATTAATAAAATATAATTTCCATTCCAAAAAAAGAAACATGGCGGATAATAGGATTGTTTACTTATTTTAAGAATATAATTACCAAGTCTTTTAAGATTTCACATTTTTTGTGAGTTTTAAAATTCTATATTCAGTACCTTTCTTTAACATTGATTGTAATTCTTTATCTTTGACAACTTCTATATTTCCTGTAACTGTATGATTGTGAAAAATATCTTTAAAAACACTATTATTACAGTTACAAGTTAAATTGTATTTGATTAATTTCTTCAATGAATTTTTATAGTGAAAAAGTAGAGGTCCTAAAGGTATATTATATCTAAAACTGACTATCGGTTGAAATAATTTTATAGATCAGGGAAGGTTTGGTTATAACTAAGCACAAAGCTACACAATGGGCTATCTGTGCTCTGCCCATCACGGGTATCGAAACCCGGATTCTAACGTTGTAAGTCCGCAGACATACCGCTGTGCCACTGGGGGTTGACAACCTGGAACGATAACGGTAATGCGATATAGAAACAAGTGTAGTGGGTGCTGTTCGTTTATCGTTGCCTCTACCGTCAACAAGTCACAGACATCTACTGTATAAGAATCCACAAAACAAAACCTAACATTCTTTTACTGAAAGTACTTTACAGAAAAATAGTTATTACTAACTTAAAAAAGGCTATTCAAAATGGAATATCTATACAGATTATTCCTGTACGAATTTACCATTTTTATATGTAGTTCCAAAATTGCATAAAAATCCTGTGGAATTTATTACTAATTCTTTAAATAAAAATAAAAATACAGTCTTCAAATAATCAGAATAATTATTTTTGGATTATTAAAGGTGGGATTCCAGTTTTGGAATTTTTAAATAATTTAAATTCTTCAAAAACTACCAGTTCTATTTTTGAAGATAGCTTTTATATGCGGAAACCTCTGTTAGCTGAGTTCTTGCACAGATCTTAAAATATATTTTTTATATCTTTTTTAAATATATATATATCTTAAAATATATTTTTTATATCTTTTTTAAATATATATATATCTTAAAATATATTTTAATATCTGTGCAAGAACTCAGCTAAAATATGTTCCCGAATATAAAAGCTATCTTCAAGTTTTGAC